GGGGCCCCTATATTTCCCTTCTTGGTGGATTCAACCGGCACCTTGTGACCCCCTTTTTTGGCCTCACTCCCTTTTGGGCCAACTTTTTGGTGATGCTTCAAGCATAGGAAACCCTTGCAAGGGAACCGCCACAGGTTGCTCCCCTTTTGCCATGTTTCCCTTGTCGCGCAGGCGGTGACTGAGATCAAGACTCTCAAGATCACACAAGAGAAGTTTCAGGCAGCGCGGAGTGAAGCCGCATTTTGCAGCGAGCCAATTACGGGTCTAGTTGCTGACTGGTGAAGGTTTGGCCTTCGATGTCTTCGCGCTAACAGAATGATGGTGAACCAATATGCAACTCCCAGGTTTAGAGCACGTTGACCAAGGATCCAACAAAAAGCATATTGGATGCTCCGAATCTATAAAGAAGTCCTCGGGGCTCGCGTGCGTAGCCGCGTGAATCGAGCGGGCTGATCCACGCCTCAGGAGATGGGCCTGAACGAGAAGATCCAGTTCGCCAACCGAAAGGCCGTCGGCGGCGGCGGCAAGCGTCAGCTGGTGGCGGGATCCTGAGTCGGTTCTTAACTCCGGACACAGTTGACGCTTTTTTTTTTCTTTGCTGAAACTGTGCTGGGATGCTTTTGAAGCGACACCAAGCTGGTTTTCCCTGTTTGAAGGATACACCATGTACACGGACACGGACTCACATCCGGGCAAGAGATCCTTTTGTCACATCTTGCCACTGGCATAGCCTTCCGTCTGCCGGAGCTTCTGGTGCATGGACCAAACTTATTGCCCAGTTCGCTGCTTGTGAATGTCGTTTTCTCTGCTCTCCAACACTGGCCTGTTGCTATAGACAAAACCGGTGCGTGGCTGGACCTGGGCTCGATCTGAGGTGCAAGAGCCTTCGCCCAAAACGCCGGACGAGCGACAGCTCATGGAGAAAGCGTCAGAGGGCCCAGAAGCGCCGGGAAGAGCGGGGTAACCAGACAATAAATCCTTCAACCACCTTCCTCAGCATTTTGTCTCACCATCTCGACTCGCCGTGGGAAGGCTCATATCCAAGATGCAGAGAAGAATAACTTATTTGGTGAGGAAGGGAAAGGCATTCATCTCCTTTATTATTATTCCACATCCTAAAGTAATTCCAGAGATGTGAATGAGAGATGAACGAATAATTCTTGTCAATGACGCTCCTATCTGTCAAAAATCTTGGAGGAGTTGAGTGACAGTAGTTTTAACTTATCATTGGAAGGCTCTTTTGGTTCACTCCTCGTTGTCAAGGACTGCTCCTGCGAAGCGAGTTAGGTAAGTCAGAGGTGAATGGCTGTCTGGCTCCATTCATCTTCGGAGGTGGGCTGTAGCCATGTCAAAAAAAATCCCAATCCTTTGCAAAAGCCCACGCCCAAGACTGCCGGGGCATCCCCTGAGGTCCTTGCCTGCTAAAAACCATGGTCTCTTTTTGTGACGTTTCAGTTGGCGCTGTCTACAGCTTGAAACAGGGCTACGCCTTGAAACACTGCCTTCCATTGGCTTAAGAATATTTATACTTTCACCTGTTGGTTTAAAGGGAATCTATGACTACTAGATGACTACTGGACATATTTTTTCCTAGGACAGCTGAGCAAACAGAACACTACCCAGGCTGAAGAAAAACGAGAACATCCAGACCATGGTCAAGTTGGATGAGCCGTGCCCTCAGTACCAAAGTCAACACCGAGATTTGCGTCAGCGGCGTTTGCAAGTGCGTCCTTCCTGAAAAAAACTGAAGCCTGGGGCCTATCCAACGTTGTTCTGCCACATGTTTGCTGGTTCTCAGCAGGGAATGAGGGAATGACCCCTATAAACCATCCCTTGCGGTTTCCTTTAAGGGGATTTCCACGTTCATTCCATTTCTCCTTCCCTGCCTATCGCACCAGCCAGTTTTTGCACGCCATACTTTTTGCCTACAGGATTCGCATGAAGCAGATCATCGACATTGCCTGGAAGGAGTCCTTGCCCTAGCCTTCAGGCTTCAGGCGGCGGCGTGTGTCCTCGCCCGGCGATTTCTCCATGGCCCTCCAACATGTTATGCGGACATGAACTCCGATGTAAATGATGTCCACCAATCATCTCCAATGAATATTTACAAGTTGCGTCCGTGTGTGTCAGATATACGAGTATATCACGCATTACTACAATTCAAGTTGTTCGTTCATTTACTTCTTTATTCATTCGTTTTTTTTCTTTTTTTGGAATGATTGATTGTTGTTGTTCGGTTGCTTCTTTAGTTATTCGTTTGCTTTGGTGTCCCTCTCTCTTTATTGTTGTTTGTTTAATAACACGTATTTAATTGTGTACGTATTGCCACGCCCATCCCTCCACACATGCATACAATCATGCAGACAAACGCACACACATACATACATACACACACACATACATACATACATGCATACATACATACATACATACATACATACATACAGACAGACAGACAGACAAACAGACAGACACACACACATACATACCATACCATACCATACCATACCATACCATACCATACCATACCACACCATACCATACCATACCATACCATACCATACCATACCATACCATACCATACCATACCATACCATACCATACCATACATACATACACACATGCATGCATGCATGCATGCATGCATGCATGCATACATACATACATACATACATACATACACGCATACACGCATACACGCATACACGCATACACGCATACACGCATACACACGTACATGCATACATGCATACACGCATACACGCATACACGCATACACGCATACACGCATACACGCATGCATGCATACATGCATACATGCATACATGCATACATGCTTGCATAGATACCTAGATACCTACCTACCTACCTGCCTGCCTGCCTGCCTGCCTGCCTGCCTGACTGCCTGCCTGCCTGCCTGCCTGCCTGCCTGCCTTTCTGCCTGCTTTTCTGCCTGCCTACCTGCCTGCCTATTTGCCTGCCTGCCTGCCTGCCTGCTTGCCTGCCTGCCTGCTTGCCTGCCTGCCTGCTTGCCTGCCTGTTTGTCTGCCTGCCTACCTGCCTGCCTGCCTGCCTGCCTGCCTGCCTGCCTGCCCATACATGTAATATACACCCGACACATCATACATAGTTGCACGGGTGTCACCAAGGAATGTGCCGGAGGGCAAAGAGATCATTGTCGAAGGCCAGCCTTCTATGCCCTGATATTGCAAGCGGGTACTGGCTGACGGCATTCACCTGCTTGTAGCAAGATGGCAAGTATCGAATTGCTGGACAGGTGACCTGGTGGCTGATTATTTCTATGCTTCGGGCTCAGCATTTGCACGCAGCGCACAGAGCCATGTCTCCGTGCAGTGGAATCACTTCGCCACTTCGCCCGCCGAGATCTGCCAGACCGGGACCTTTGAGATCTTTGTTTCAGATTCCAAGAAGGGTGGCGAGAAGCGCCGGCCCCAGCGCTTTCGCTTTCGCATTCGCTTTCGCATGGCTTGGCATCCGCCTGGGAAGCCGCGGTACCCGGAGAGTTGGGTATGGGGCAACATTTGCATCGCCTTGAATTGGAGCGCAGGGAAAAGTTTAGCCCATGTTGCCATGAAAACCGGGGCAAGACATTTTGGGGTACCTATGTTTGACCAGCCATTTTAGGAAGCGGAAGCTCGTGCAGACCGTCACTAGTGGCGGCAGCTTCGGCGTGGCTTGGTGGAATTGGACAAGCTGTTTCAGAGCCCACTTTTCAAGAGGTCAGAGAAGTGGGATGCTGTTGGCCCTTGCAATCCCAAAGATGGAGAGCCAGAGTTGTGTGCGGATGATTCTGGCTTCAAATGCTTTTGCAGCGTTTCCATTTTGTGCGTTTTCCTTCTTCATTGCCTCCAACTGACAAATCCCCATCTGGCAACAAACCGCTCTTAAGATTCGGGCTGTTGCAAAAGGTCTGTGCAGCCGAAAGATAACTTTAAAGAAGGCAACATGTTTTCTTCAGCCAGGAGTAACGTCAAAAGCCGTAGATCCGTAGATCCACGAGGGGTATCCGAGCTTTGGAAATCAGGAGCTCGCTCTTCTCTACCTGGTACCCCGTGCAGCAACCGTGGTTGCCAAGGCTGCGGGAGGGGCGGGGGGTATGTGTGAGCTGTGGGGGTTGGGCACGGAGGGCTCCAAGGGATGTGGAGAGCTAGATTTGTTCAATCAGGGTGTCTGGGCTCAAGTTCCAAGCGTATGATGAGTCGTAGCAACAACATAGCTATAGGACAGTTTTTGTTTGTTGGAATCTCAACATCGCATTGGCTAGTTGATAGGATATGGAGAGCTCCTTTTCCCTGCTTGCCCATGCATGGTGGTAAGATGCCGCTTGAATTGCCCTCCCTGAACAAAACCGATGAGGACACCCTTGTAAAGTACTGAAGCATCAACATGCGGAAAGTCGTGCAACGGGACGGCAAGCAACCTGACATGCCAAGCCAGGAAGACTCATCAGTATGGGTGATCGACCGCAAGAACTTCAAGGATATTCTGATGAAGGCTGAGCTGAAGGGCCGCGCGCGGTCGTGCACCGCTCGGGCTGTGAAACGGAGGTGACGTGATGAGGGCTGCATTTGCCTGCCAGGTCTCTGACGAGAAGATTCAGGAATATGTGAAGTACTTGAATAGAGTTCTTATCTGAGTGGGAACCAGTGAAAGTGCACTTAGAACTCAGCTGACTTTGGTTTTGTGTGGATTGCCATGGCAGTTTGCCCCAGGTCGAAATTCTCAGCAGCCTGTTAGCTGCGGAGAAGCAGCAAGTGGCCAGAATCTCAGATACACCAAGGTCAGTGATTCTGATGGTACGTGTCAAGATGGCTATCCCTTCAGGCAAAAGCGTTGATGGAAGTTCACTTCTCCAAGAATGAGGCACCAATCTAGATGCCACCCTCGAGTGACGGTCATGACACTTTTCAACTGCAGGTGATCATTCAGCAAGGCGACCCAGGCACCACTTTTTACATCCTGTTTGAAGGTGAGGTACGGTGCTTAGCGGAAGGGCGGATGCAGCTACACTTTTCTTTCTACACTTCTTTCCCAGGTCGCAGTGTCCATTGATGGCGATGAGAAAGTCCGCTTGCAGGCCGATCGGTCGTGCAAATCACTGGGAACAGGGTCCCACTTCTTGACTACCCCAGGGGTGGTTCATTCCCCCTCAAAAGGAGAAGCCCTAGGTTTAAGTTTTTCTTGTAGTCCAAAAGTGGAACCCCATGGAACCGTGCAGCGGTGTGCATGCGCGACAGGCAAGCGAAGACAGGGGCACGGCTCAGTATTTTGGCCCGGTCCTCAGCTTGGCCAAGGGCAAGGGCAGCGTGTGCTCCTTCAGGAGAACGCGCCCTCTTGCACAACGAGCCTCGTGCAGCGACAGTGCGAGTTGTGTCCAAAGATGCCAAGGCGCATGAGATGCTCAACCTGTATTGCCCACCTTGTCTCCCGTTCAAACGAAGAGCTCCCACAGTGTCGCATGGTTCATTCACCAATTCGGCTGGGCTTGGATTGTCGTGAGGGAGATATTTGTCCATTTGCCTGGCTAATTGATTGGCCATGGGTCAAAATCCCGTACCCGCAGTGAACATCCCAATCCCCACTATATACTATAGACTAAAATGGGTGGTGAATTCACCCCCCCCAAAATGGGATCTCATTGGTTTCGACCCACAGCCAATTGCTTGGTGGGGCGCTTTGAGACATGCCGCCATGGCCAGGCCCTGGCACTGGACAAAGAGGCGTTTGACCTCTTGCTGGGACCCTTGGAGGTCGCATCCTCATGCCGCGCTTTGGACAGCCCGTCTGTACGCACTCGGATGGATTTTTTTCGCCTAGGACATCCTGGCGAGAAAAGACGCAGGCGGCCAGCCTGCCAAGGCCACTGCGCATGTTGCAATTCGGGTTGCCACTGGCCGCAAAAACAGAGACTAGAGACATGTGTGTCTCACTTTTGGGTATCGCTTTCTTTGAAACCACAAAACGAGGGTACCCTGAAAAAGCGACACACCCACATGGCAGGGATCAGTGGCACCTCCAGCCGGCGGCACCGGTGGCGGACGAGATCCCAACAGGCCAGCACTTCATGTTGGGAAGCTTCTGGGTGAGTGTGACGCCTGACGCAGCAACCAGTTTCTCTCTCACGATTTAGGGGGCCCTGTTTTAGTGGAGATCGCGTGAGGCCGAAGATCCTGATGAGCGACCTGACAAAGGTTGGCCTCCTGGGCGCTGGTGGCTTTGGTGCCGTCCTGCACTCAGACTCGTCGTGCTCTGCGTGTGGATGGGACTGCTGCCCTTTTCAGAGCCCTGATTAGATGAATGCCTTGATGGGCATAAAAAGCTCTGCAATCACCTCCACCAAAGGCTCCTCTCTTTTTCAATGGCATATCCTGCCCAGCGGTTTTCCCCCAAAATGGGCCGTTGATGGCTAAAGGGAAACCCCAAGCGAGAGCCAGCTGGGCTCCGATGCCCGAGGTAGAGCTTTGGGAGCACAAGGCCTCAGGCGAGACCTACGCGATGAAGTGCGGCCGCCTCAGGCTCTCCGTGTGGTAAAGATGCCTGGGGGGTTTCAAGGAATCCAAGGAATCCAAGGAATCCAACGAAGAAATCCCAAGAAATCCAAGGAATCCAAGGAAACAGTAGAAATCCAAGGAACCCACGCAACCAGAGGAGAGTCCCCAAATTTTGAGAACAAGTCGGCACAGAGCCACTCTCTGGTATGACCAGCAAAGCGATCAAGCAATCAGCTTGGGTTGAAATGTTGCTCAGGTATCAGCAAGGGCTTCATTGTGAAGACTGGGATGCAGGCACGGTCGCAGCTGCCAAGTTAACACCGGTACTTTATAGGCACGCTCTCGCAGGACAGTGTGATCACGGAGAAGAACATTCTGTTCATGACCAACTCGGACTTCATCATTCGGCTCTACGAGACGTGCCACGCTCACTGCTCAGATAGCATGCAACCTGGACTTGTGGTAGGTACAACTCGAAGCAGTCCATCTACTTTCTGATGGAGTTGCGAGCCAAGTCCAGCCTTTGTTGGCTCTGGGGGTGCAACTGACGCGGTCTCGACTGTGTGGCTTGAAGTGGCCTGTAAGTTGGCTCAAACTCAGTCTTCACAAGTCTTTGTTTGCCAACATGGGAAAAAAACCCTGCTTTTTTGAGGAACCCGCCGTGAAGACATGCGATGGGTCCCACTGAGAAGACAAACCCGTTGACCTGCGACTCAGGCCAGCTCTGGGAGGAGAGCTCTACTCCATGTACCAGAGAAAGGCGCACGGAAAGCAGAGCATGCGCAGAATTCGCCGTGGGAGTGATCCTGACAAGATGGTTGTCAGAGTGAATGACGCCCGCAGAAGGGTCCTCAATTGGGCTTTATGCCTACACCGGAACGGATTGGATTGCAGCGAAGGGGCTTCTTGGCACAGGGGCTGTGCTCCTGGCCTCTAAGCCTTGTTGAGAGAAGCGTATCTTCCTGCGAATAAAATCATGGCGCATCAGGGCAGATGTCTTGTGGAAGTTACTTCGCTCAGGGCTTCTATGGAAGCGAGAAGCATGCCAAGTACTACTCAGCTGGCGTGGCAGACGTCTCAGGAGCTCCCTGTGTGCCTCAAGTGACGGGCCAGAGTGACGGGCCAGAAGCATCGGCTGAGGTTTGCGCCTTCGAGCACTTGCACGAGCGACATATCATCTACAGGCTGGAGCAGACGTTTTCGTATCTCGCCTCTAGCGGTGTTTGGGGGTATGTTTCTCATGGTTTCTGCACCTCGAGTTGACAGTCGCCACAAGGGAAGCGGGAAGCAGAATCCATGGGTCAAATCCAGGGATTTGAAGCCGGAGAACCTGCTGCTGAACGAGAAGGGTCACCTCAAGGCGTCGAGGGTACCCCGACTTGCGAGAGGCAGTGCCTCGGGCGATTGACTCTGTTGGAAGATCCAGTGGCTTGTCGATGATCTGGGACATGGATCGCTTTTCTTTTGGCTTCCGTTGCAATATCAACAAGGGGTCCATGCCAGTTTTGTACTCCGTCAAAATATCTGCAGGTGACCGACATGGGCTTGGCCAAGTTCGTCATTGGAAAGGCCGGCAGATTCATTGGCTTGCCAAGAAAGAGCTTTGCGGAGGACAAAGCATCAAGGTGACGGCATAAGGGCACCTTTGGGGAACATATTGTTTTGTGAAAGCAATGAACACTTGCATGTGTATGTGTGTGTGTGGGTTGGTGTGGGTGGGTGGGTGGGTGGGTGGGTGGGTGGGTGGATGGGTGGGTGGGTGGGTGGGTGGGTGGGTGGGTGGGTGGGTGGGTGGGTGGGTGGGTGCGAGCGTGCATGCGTGCGTGCGTGCGTGCGTGTGTGTGTGTGTGGGTAAAGATTTTAACGCCGCTATAGTCTCCTACATGACTTCAAGTAAAAAGAGAAAGCTTCGTCAGCGCTCCCTGCGCAGACCTACACGACGTGCGGGACGCCGGACTACTTTGCTCCGGAGGTGATCGCATCGTGCGATTCTGAAAGCTGCAGCAGTGAGATGACATACACTGACGTAGCTAGATGTGAATACGATTTCAAAGGCCTCAAAACCCAGGCATCGACTCTGCATATGCTCAGGACGGGACACACGCATGCTGTCGATTGGTGGATGCTGGGAGTGCTGATCTTCGAGTTCATGTCCGGTACTAAGCTGAGTCGAAAGTGGACAATCAGTGAGTGACCTTGATAAGGACCGGATCAGCTCCCTTTGAAGCGCAGGGGGCTGAGCTTGTTTGCCGAAGACCTTGAGGTGCACTTACATTCGACTTGGCCAATTACCGAGGCCATACCCAATGCAGATCTATGCCAAAGTCCTGCCGGGCCTGCCTGTTTCCATTAACGAGCGGTCGACGATTGGCACCGCTAAACGCTCAGGAAGGGTGTCAACGCGGTGAAGTTCCCTCCGCAGCTTTCGCCTCAATGCGTTGACATTGTGAAGGCCAGGTCAGATTTCTCCTCGTTCAGTCCGACCAAATGGTGGTCCCGAAAGGTGCCGTTTCGCAGGCCATCTGCCAGAAGGAGCCGGCGGACCGACTGCCCATGCTCGCTGGTGGCACAAAGAACTTGAAGGCGCCGGTGCTCAGAATCAGACGCCGACGGGACGCATGGCAACGCGCCAATGTTTGGCGATCACAATATGCTCACATGTTTGAGCTTCATGTTGTTCTCATTGGAGATGTCAAACAGTGTCTCCCTTCCTGAGCGTGCTCACATGTTCGCAGCTCAGGGCCATGCGTGGTATAAGGGCTTCAATTGGGCTGCGGCCCCAGACCGGTGTGAGGCAGGCACCATCCCAGTTTCATTTGAGTACCCCAGGGTAGGCTCTTGATTCGCCAAGAAGGGGAACCTCTTGGTTCAAGTCCTTGCACCACTCAAAACCCACCATCTTATGGGTGTCTTTCAAGATTCGGGGAACCCAGGGTGTTTCCTTGAGGTTTCCCTTTGTCCAGAAAGGGGGGGGGGGGGCATTTTGAGACGGACGATCTTTGAGAATTGGTAAGGACAAGTTCACGGAGTTCACCCTAGAGGCGCCCTTTGTCCCGAAGGTGAAGAGCAAGAAGGCGGGGGAACCTGGCACCTGGCATCGGCCTCTTTTTTTTTTGTGTGTGTGTGTGTGTGTGTTTTTGTGTTTTTTTTTTGGGGGGAGCCCTTTTGGGTGGGTTTCAAAGGTACAACCAAGGGGGACAAACACAAACTTTGGGGTCCTCCCATTTCAAGACACACCTTTGGAGTTGGTGCCCTTGAACAAGGGTTTGTTTCGAAAACAAGGCACAGAATAGCCTCACTCTTTTTGTTTGGGGGTGGGGTGGGGTGGGGGGGGAACGCACATGTTGAGTCAAACCCACTTTTTGACAGGCTGTTCATTTTAGATACATTGAACCGAAGTTGGTCTTGTGCTTGTGCTGCACATGCAAGACTCTGATGCTTTGCGTAGAAGCAATCTGCGAGCTTCTGGAAGGACTTGGCTAACTTCAGCGTCCACCCCGATGAGATGTGCTGCACTCACTTTCCTGCCAACCCCATCATCTCCATTTGCCTGTGTCGCTCCATGTTGCGCTACGTGGTTTGCGCTACCAGGCCCCGGTTCATCGAGTATGTTGATGATGGTTCCGGCTGGGACAAGGCCTGCTAGCTATCATTGGATGACCAAACACGATATTGGTCATCTTTTTTTTGTGGGAACCCCCTTCTGGGTTTTCAAGAGAAACCAAAACGAAGCAACCATCTTGGAGGTTACCACCCATTTTGAGACAAACCCATATGTGAGCAACTCGGAGTATTTGCCAGGACTTTGCGACCTGTTGAGGGGTGCAACCCTCGTTTGCTCCAGCATGGAGCTTAGCAAAAGCTGAGAGTCAAACCTGCGAGCGAAATGAGGGCAATGACCTCCCCGTTGGAAGCAGAAGTGAGTGCCCTGCAATTGCAGACAGCTCGGTGTTTCATACTTGAACAAGTTACACACATTTGAAGCGCCCTTAGTAAAGCTAGCTCGGTGCCAGCCCCTCAGTCCGAACCGAAGGCAGTTTGCCTGCCTGCCTCTAAAGTGCAAGTGATCCTTGACCACGATGCTGGCATTGGACTTCGGCGCTTCAGGAAGGGAGTTTGCTGCACAGGCTGGCGAGACTGGTTTCAAACACCCGTTGCAGCCTGAACTATGCGGCACTCAGGGAACTTTACCTTGCAAAGCGGCACTGCAAACTAGCAGCCAGGCGGCTTTGCACACAGTTCAGTTTCACCATTCAGACCCAACCGACAGGCACCGAAGTGCCTTTTTTTTGTGCTAACCGGTCATTTGGTTAACCCAACAGCCCAATGAGCCCACGACCTACGCTCGATCACCATCTGTTGTGTCTGGCACGTCCGTCAACGAAGCGGCGCAGTTGTGTGTCGCACTCCGCTGGCTCGCGAAGCAAGGAGAGGGGCGTTCGCTTTGCTATTGCTGTTGTTTTTGTTTCAGCGGGGAAATTCAGAGGCAGCTGAAGAGCGCCGCAAGGCAGAATGCCTTCGATCAGCGATGTTAGCAAACCTGCGCGGTCTGATGGCCAGCTCGACGTCTCACAAGGAAGAATGTGCGACTCATGCCTTGTGTGCAGTGAGATTGTTACATGGGGTTGTCGTTTTGTAACCCCCCCAAATCGGTGTTTTTTCCTTTTGGCCTCCCTTTACACACCAAAGAAGGGGTACCCTCAACGAAATGCCATGCGGCCATGCGTCTACGAAAGAACTTGTCATCACGGTGCTCGGCTCAGCTTGGAAATTGGAAAGGCCCGCTGTGGCTGTACACCAAAAAGCATGAAGGCTACTTTGTGGAACGGAAAGCCATTTGGCTGGTCATCCGGCAGTGCTAGATGAATATATATATATATGCATATATATATATATATATTGCTACCAGATGGGCTCATGTTGCAGGGTATTTTTTTTGCAAAGGCTGATGAACTTAGACAGGTGCCAGCACCAACGTTGAACACCTACACCCTCGGAGTCCTTTGGCAATGTTTACACAGCCTGCTTGATCAAAGGAAGCAAGCAGCATCATCGCTGGCACATGGGAGTGGACCGAGCACTTTTCTCTGGAGCTAAGGCCTCAGCTATTGATGTAATGTGATTGTCTTGATGGAATGTGTGAACCGGCATACATGTGGGCTTTCGGGAAAGGGCGCCACATGTGTCTGTCCGTCTGCTTGCCTGGCTGGCTGCCTGCCTTCCCTGCCAGGTGTTAGGGCTGGTATGCGAATGCGCGTGCCTGGCGGGTGTGTGTGTGTGTGTGTGCTGCGGCGGATGTGCGTGCTGGTGTGGGTGTAGGTGTGGATGCGGATGTTGATTTGTTTGTCTCAGGTTGCAAGCGAAGCTGTGGTGGATGTGCTGACCGACGATGTATCTTCATCGTTTGTGCCTTGCTCAGATGAAGGAAGGGAAGGGACATATCTTCCATCATGATCGGATGCCCCGCATTGATTCAGCTCCTTTGCTGGAGCAAGTGTTTGCATGTCTTGCGAGTCGCACTGCTGGCTCGCTCATTGTCACTGACAACGCTGCAAGTCGTGTTCAGCACCGAGTTCTTTTGATGGGTGTGTATACAACACAACGCGATTGCCCATTTTCTGTGGCTTTTCACGGGTGGTCACATTTGTATTGTCTGTGACAGAAGGAGTAGGAAAGCAGACACGGAGCTGCGGTTTCCGCGTACCATGTGGGAATCGACTGCGAATGCAAAACACAAAGCCTACTTGTTTGCGACTCCCAGAGCGCAGAATGGCCCTGAAAGCCCGTGGCTTAGATGAATACATCAGGCCCCAACCAACACGCTCGACCAGAGTAGCCTGATTTTCAGAAGGCAACAAAGCGCTTTTTAAACTCAAGCGATTCCTAGATGATGAACAACAACAACAACAAGGTTGGACGGGGGGGGGGGGTTTGCCCGGGAAACAATGCGAACCGGCCGGGGAGGGTTTGCCCGAAGAACAATGTCAC